GCCAGGATTGAGACACCAGGCGTAGGCGTCCCGGCACGTCCAGGCCTCCCAACCGCCCTCAACAGCATTACGTCAACAGAACACTAACCCTGACTACGGTAACACATGTGCCCTGTCGGCACGGATTCCAGCCACACAAATTCCTGATCCCTATAAAATGATCTTCCCAGCAACGGCAAAGCCCCCTCATCGCGGCCGGGAGAGGGCCAGCACGGCAAACATTATCTTTTAAGACGCGCTCCGTCACGGCGTTGAGCTGCCTCATTCGTCTGGAGCGATACAAAGTTGCAACGCGGCAGAACACAAATGGATGCCCCTCTCTAAATGTAAAGCAAAGACGGAATGCATCCTGGAAGATAGGTAACGGTAGCATTTGTATCCCGGCCAAATGTGGGAGAAGTTTAGAAAGCGTTCTATGTTTCCATTACGGGAAGACGTCTGGTCGCTAGGCGGGGCATTTGTCAGTGTCTTGGACGCTCAAGACGTGGGTAATAGCCGCGGTTTGTAGGCGATGTCAGAAAAGATATCTCGCCTTTACATTAGTTTCTGAAGACCTCCACAGTTATAGTAGGATATGTGAGTCTTTTCTTTTTAAGTTTTTCTCGAAGAAAAGTTCAAGCACACTATTAACTGCGCACAAAAACATAGAAAACGATATATTAAAGATTTTCGTTACCCCGAATTGTTTTCTTCTATCTACAGAGTAAAACTGAAGAACTTTTGATTGTTTATACATGGCGATCTTTTTTTCAAATATGGAATGTCACAGAAAGTTTAACATTTAGCATTTTTATGTGCCATTTCCAAAAAGTCGGCTATTAGGAATGTAATTCACTCATATCTTCAGGGGCGCTTCCGGAAAATGTTCTTCCTAATTATCTCCTAGAGCAACAGCGTCAAGATTTATCCCAGAACGATGGATGCTTCATTTCCAGTGGTACGTGAGAGTACGGTATGATGTCATGATTGCAAAAAATAAACCCGCTTGACGTGAATTTCGCTTATCGTCAGGTCTGCCGCGTCCTTGTACGTGAGACGTCAGGCCGCTCACGGCGGTGTGAAGAACCATTACCGTACACAGGAGCTGAGATATGAGATCTAATAAACCTAGCCTGTCTGTTTTTTATGGACAGCGGCGAGGCATGCGTCACCAAATGGATTTATATACGGGCGAGAGTTGGGGAGATATGGATAGGTGCACGTTCTGCGCGCGTTTAGGCAGAACTGTAATACAACTTTACAAAGGTAGCGTCTTCTCTGGTGAATGATGGGCGAATTTTGGGAACGGCCGCCGCTGCGCTTTCGCATTATTTGCCGTTGTTCCAAGGACGGGACCGCAGGCGGTGTAATCCCTGTCATGGGTCATACTACAGACAAAAACATATCCCGCTATCCGTCATCGCATGGTGAGGGGGATTCTGGTCTTATTACGGGATGTTCCTGCCCGTGGGACACGCAGGAAATGCACAGCGGTACCAGCCCTCCCACAACATCTGTTGCCCTGAATAGCAACCACTTTTTTTCGACGGCCTTTTCCAGTATTAGTCATCGTTGTCGTTTTTATCATGGATTCTCGTGAGAATTGGTCACAATTTGATTATCACACGTGGCGATTTAGCGACATGGAGGTTTCTCATCCCATCTAACTAATGGCTCGGGTGTCTTAACTCATTCATTCTATCCCAACCTGTCGATCCAAAACCATGTGAAGTTTCAACTTATACATATCCATTGTTGTCTCCTTGTTGTATCACGAGAAAGCTATAAAATCTACAAATATCTTAAGGCAGGAAATTGTACAGTATCTAAACTCCAACAAGCGCATAAGGCCTCTGTTACAATGTTTTCCATACTGCTAATGCTAAAGATTACTTTCTTAGAGTGGCAAACTGTACTCCTTCAGCGGACCAACTCCCTGGCATGTTTGTTTGTTTGTTTGTTTTTATTTGTTTACCCAGGGTGTACATATCGCCACTAAGGCGTTTTTCAATGTGCCCTGCAGGCATACATAAATAAAATATACAAGAAAATAACAGATATAACAAAATGATAAGTCAACTTATAAGTACAAATTAAAGTCAACTTAGTACAAATAAAAGTAAAAGTACTATATAATGCCGCAACTCAGTAAGGTGGTAATAAAACAAACTTGTCAAACCAAGAGCCACAACTCATAGTAATTAAGGCAATAATACAAATAATACAAATGTTACCTGTCTATTTGGCAAATTTCTACTCTTTCCAACCACCTCTGAAGCCTGATAGAGGCTAGCTAAGGATATCGAGACAAAATCACAGAGCAACAGTTAGCCCCCCGGGCTAGTGTTCTCTAGTAGTAGAGTAAGCCAAACAGAAACTGCACTGGAGAGACGTTAAACACGCCGGAGTCATACATCTGCTTGGAGATTAATGGCTTGCCTATGCCGTGATGTAGTTTCCCTAAAGGACAAGGAGGCGGGAGCTCTCACACATTCATTAAGCGATATAATCCACAAATAACGCCCGTCCATTACGCACGACGTCGAGCGAGCAGATCGATCAAAACCCCGCGGCCTCAGTCAGACTCCACAACAACGGAGCGCGAACAAACGCCACGTCAGGAAGGTGCATCAAGTGCACCGAGCTAACGCCTTTAGTGGGTGTAAAAATAGTACGAATCTGCAAAAACGGTTGGATCATAACACAAGTGCATCAAAGCTAGTCTTCACCAAGCTCTGGATGTAAAGAATGGTACAAACTGACAAAAATGGTTGAATGACCTGCCATAGAAACAAGCCCGGGAAATAACGGCTAACTAGCTAGATTCTTTGACACACAATGCACAATTTCGGCTACTATTTACAGCTTTCGTGACCACAGTAAAGCTGGCTTCACCAAGCTACTTTAATGGATGTAAGAAAAGTACAAATTGACCAAAATGATTGAGTGATTTGCAAGAAAAGCTAGCCGGGAAAAGGGACAACTAACTAGCTAAATGCGCAGGAAATGCAAACACAAATTTGCCTAATATTTAGTTTTTCTTGACCGCCAAATTAGCTTGATGGATTGAGTCTAGACCAAAGCCTGAGAAAGAAGACAGTAAGGTTCCACAGAGGCATCACCCACGGTTGACTTACACCACCTGTCAGCACAGAGCGCACACAGCGGCGCCGCCTGTACCGCAAATGGGCAGTCAGCGCGGCTCACACTGTTGAAGTGGCGGTACGAGGGGACAACAAAGACAAAGGGATGCCACTGCCACTCTAAAAATACAGACACATTCCTAGGATAGTGATACCCTGAGCTGTGCATTTACACCTGTTCGGGTGGCATCAAAAACTACAAGGACTCATATGAGATGTAATACAAAACGTGTGAAACGTACACGTATTTTTCTTCAGACAGTAAGTAATAATGATATGCACTCATGCTACACGCTACACACGCAGCCTGGCAAACTTAATTCGCTGCCTCCTTTTCCCCACGAATGCGTAGAGAACTTTCGTGGCGCGCAAATGGTCTTAACACACTTACAAGTACAATATTGGGCTTAGAACGGCGCCCACTTTACATTCGCGGCTTTTAAAAGATTTACGCTCTTAGAATGCCAAGTTGTCATGGATGGAATAAGAAGAAAGGCTCTTGAAAGATACAGGAAGCTAGTGTATTCTACATAACCTTGAAACTACAGTGATACGGCCGGTATATTCCGTCATAGCTCAGCAAAAATATACCTATCATAGCCGAACATGTAATCTAGCTGCATTACCTTCCACTCACGGCGCTACACGCTTGTCTGAAATGTCACTATCCTGACGCATATCACCGGGGGAAAAAGACGGTAAATCTTCCCCGCAGAAATTCGTCTGTCGAGGGTTTCCCAAAACAGCGGCTCTGCTAACCTGTAATCCCAACTCCCTGCTAGTTCATTACGGAAGCTCGTAGCTGTAAATGTCATCTGTAACTATCTTATGCATATTTGTCAAGAGATGTCGGTAAATTTTCGGTGAGGGAAGCGTCCGCATCATTTTTAGCCGGACTCCACAACTGGACGTGACAGCGAGCGGGGAAGGAGAGGGGAGGTTCTATCAATCACTACCGCTTTACGACTACTTTCCAATATCTACCGGTCCTGGTTACGGGACGCTGGGAGCGTACGGTAGGAATTTGTGACATTTTGAGTGGAAAAGTCAAACTGAAATTGGAAGAGCATTGCGAGAGACTCCCAGTGATTACGAATGTGGAAGTACGGAGGTAGGCATATGGCAACATAGCATGCTTGTTTGCGCTCTCCGCGCACCGTGGATTAATATTATCGTTCATCGCAATTATAACGGGATAAAAGCAGCTATTATTAATTTCATGAAGGATGATTTCGTCGAATGATAGTTCATAAATTCGCGGCGATGTCTGGCGGCGCACTCCGTCAGTGTCGGAAGGGGGAACAGGAGAAGGGGAGGTCGGATCGAACCGCGCCGCTCACCTTCTACACGGCGGGAGGCGAAACCTTAATTTTGCATGCGTTGTCGGGATGAAATATACCACCCTCCAGCACCGTGGGTCAGACTATATTGAAAATGCTGCTTAAATAATGCACATGTACGGGCGGTGTGTGATTATATAATACCAGCGGCGTATATATGCCCGTGAGCTTGAGCGCTACATGGGATAAATAAGCTCTAAGCTTGGCTACATTCGAGCTGAAATTACGTGATTGCAGTGCGCCGGAAAAAAAGATCAATGCACTTGACAGATAAACATGATGGGTTTAATGAAAATTGCAGGAGAGAGGTACTTTTGGGAGCGGGGAACGTGAATAAAGCTTTCATAGAGTCAAACTCCGATTTCTAGCCGAACCGTCGGTCAATACGAGAACAACAGACAGAGGCTTGCGGGGCGCAAATGGAGCGAAACATGACAAGTGGTTTGGCGAACCGCGCTCGATGTAGGAGAAAATGGGCAGCTGGACTACAATATAGTGTGCAGATGAGCAGGGGAAATGGTTTAAATCTTACCTGGGCATCGCCGTTCAGGACCGCGACCCTCCCCGGGCACTGCTCCGCCTGCCCCCGCGGACAGGAGGTCAGCAGCACGGCGACCAGGACGGAGAGGACGGCAGGACAGCGGCGGGGTCTTCCTCCCATGGCTTCTTCTGGAATAGAGACAGAGAAAACGGAGCCGTCGTTACACATAAGTAAAGGAATTCAATTCTGGGATAACAAGGTCGCTAAATGAACCCGAAATTGAGTCAATTACGAACCGCGCGCGCAGCACACCAACGTCTGCTCCTAATGGCAATACCTGATGTGGGGAAAATGTAGAAAACGGTCCGCCAGGGTTAGAACAACTCTATCAATCGACGCGAGATCCCACGATTCCGACGCTCGCGATAAAGCGTAGCTTCTCGACTATGCGTTTGGCTATGTGTCAAACCAAATCGTCGGCGTGGAATGAACATACAGAGAAGTCAACCTAATGCGAGGCAGGAAAAGAGCATCACGCCCTGTGATGTAACGAACATAGCCTCGTCGAGGCCCTCGATAAAAACCGCACAATCTCGGATACACCACTACGGTCACCATGGATAAGAACAACTGACGGACAGTATATATCGGAAGCGACGCACCCGCGATGTACTCCAACACTAGCGCTGGCCTGTTAGTTCCTGACGCGGTCCGATACCTGTCATCACATCAGGAGAACGGCAGAGCGCTGCTGCAGCATTGTGAACCTCTACTGTTGCTCCGGGCTGCCCGGCTTTCTGTGGACTGCTCGTACTCCGAACCTCCCTCCCGAGGGGAGAGCGACAAATGGGAGCCACAACAAAAGCATGTGTCGGGCCGGCGAGCCTGTGTCGAATCGGGGACCGCCTTGATCGATCTGACGCTGAATGAAGCTGTTTTCTCCTGCCGAGCCTGCTGAATCGGACGATTCCATCAGGTTTCGCTAGAGGGGACCATCCCAAAGATAACGCGTGGCGATCCCATCGCCCAATGATACAACCCAATACGCTGTTTAACGAATGGGGGAAGAGCTAGAAGAGAACACTGCTATTGCGGTGGGGAAGAGTACATGGTAGAATGTATATGTTAGAATCGACCCACGATCTGTCAGTCATCCAAAAGTTATGCATAGAAATACATCATTTAAGTAAGATGAGCGCACAGCGATATTGTGTAACACGCCATTCAACCAATACAGCATCGGGAAAATGGAACATTTTGTTGTCACTTGAATGTGCGCCTTATCATAATGGAGAATTAGATCCCAATAGTGTACTTAATGTTGTTTACACCTTCGAGAACTGCTACCGAAGCACAAACGTGTCGTTTGCGGGTTTAGGCAATGGAAAATGAAACAGTCACTTCAGTTCACGTGTGCACCTTATCATGACTAAAAGGAGTATGAATCCCAGTAGTGTCCTTGATGTTGTTTACCCTTGTAGAACTACTGCAGAAGCACAAACGTGTCGTTTGCGCTTTTAGGTCGAAAGTCATATGGCCTAAAACGACCTAATTTTGTCAAGAGAGTCAACGGAAGTGTTTGAGTGCTCCTGGTGACTTCCATTGTGAGTAGAACTTTTTTTGAAAAAAAAAAGAAGACCATCTGGCAGGAGGCATTTTGTGTTCTTAGAGGGGCGTCATGATGCCGCTGTAATTCAGTGCAGTTAATAAGGGTGCACAAAAGGCGGGGTGCTAACGGGGGCCGGGACGACATAATGGTCGCCTGGTCACGCCGATTCCGCCCGGCTATGGTCTCCCGGGAGACGTGATGTCTCTATCACCGACAGGAGCTGCCGTTTGGCATCCTCAAAAGGCTCATTGTGAGCACGAGAACACTGATTCGGGGGCGATTAGAGACGCCCGGGACAGAGGAACCAAGGCACGAACAAACGCCGGGGTCGGGGGTGCGCGGGGCCGGTGGGAACGGGCGGCAGCCGCGGTGTGTAAAGACGCGGTGATGGCTTCATTTCGGCTGACAGCGGCCGGCAGCGCCCACCCACGTCCCCGGCAGATGATGTACCGCTCGTGTCGCGGCCTGGTAAATGGAGGTCGCGCTACATATTGCCGGAGCATAAATGAGTTGACGCGGGCGCGCGGCAGTAAAGGAGACAGACGGATGGAACAGGGTTAATAAGACCGATAATGGTCCGGCCGGGGCTCCGCCAGCCAGGCACGGACAGGGGAGCGGCAGGCGGGAGGAGAGAACAAAGGACAGGTGACGCAGGGATGGACGGATGGAGAGATGGAGTGAAGAACGGACAATGACTTGAAAAGCCAGACGATGTAGCATTGTCAGCAGCCTTGAAGGGTCGTTTTTCATGCTGTTTTCTGATAGCCTCGAGTACCAAACTTCTAATGCCGTTTTTGTACCTATTACGTACTGTTGCCTACCATGGCCTGATGTCGGGAGTTTTCTTTAGTTTTGGTGTAAAAACGACAACCGCAAAGCCATTGCTCCCCTGCACATCATTGGCAACAGCGTTGGGCAGGAGAGGGAGAGAGAGCAGACTAACTCGCAACGTCGACGTCGATTAATCATTTAATGGATATCTTTCCCCATATGTTGTCCCACCGCTGATAAATAGAAAAGAAGATCAGCGATATATGCAGGTTCACTTAATACAGCGACGTTAGCTATTGATGTAACCTTTGCGAATATCCCCACATGTTATAAAGTTCTCCAGGAGCATTAAAGCAGTTAGAAGTCAGACAATCGATATGAAAGGTGCCAAAGTCACGTCCATAGCCAATTGGCCGCGGACCTGGCGGGAAAAAGCTGTCTCGGCGGCCATTTTGTAACTAAGGAGGATTCTATCGTCTGCGTCTGGGCGTATCGGTGAGAGCAGTCTGAGCAGATGCCTGGGCCAAGCTGTCGCGACCAACCGTAGCGCTACAATCTGCAGATCTGTACATTCTTATTATAAAATGTTCTGGGTGGACAATAATACATAAAACGGTCGATAATTCACAGGCTTCTTTCCTCAGTAGGCGCGCGGTACCGGAATCCAAGATCAGGGTGGGGTGCCAAGCTTTGCGCGATGTAAAAAAAAACTCGCGGCAATGGCAGAAGGTTCAAACAAGAACAAGAAAATTCTAGCAACAATACCAGCGCAGTTTGACGTACTTGCGAGACAGATAATTCCTTTCTTCCTCCTAAGACTTAGCCATTGTTTGTAAATTTGGATCCAGAGCTTTGATTCGATCGTAAAGTTTGATTAACTTAAGATCATACAAGCATTTGCCGTCAAGAATTTCACCACGTACAGTCTGACTCGCAATGCAGATTCTTATCACAGAGGGGCTCACGAGTAAGCAATAGTGAAAATAGTTGCCAATATCTCTTATTGTTGATGGCGCAATGTGATACCATGGAAGCTGCATATATCTAACGTTTAAGTGCCCTTTTAACTGTTAAGATTTGTTGTGATATGAATGCACGTTACCAAGAGGTGTTCTCATAAACTCCAACAAATTACAGCCACACAGTCACAGGAGGACAAAAAAGGAAGAGAATGATACTAGTAGATAAATCAGATAAGTATATTTTGGCACTAAAACTTATCGACTAGGACTAGGAGTGTTAAGTTAAGAAGCTGAGAATGTTACTGCTTCAAGTTTTTTAATCGTTAAAGTTTTAGCCATAACGCGCGCGGTTTGAGTGGCATATACGGTATATCATCACGACAAGACCGGCAAAATATACACATCTCGGGTCAAGTGATACGTCCCGTTTTAATGCGAGTCCTAAATTACATATGAAAGCCGGCTTGGAAGAGTGAACGCTACCATCTGTCGTGTCTTTTATCCGCTAGACTTCTCGGGACACACGCGGTATACATCACAGCACGGGGGATATGTTTCCAGGCTGCCGCTAGGTACGGTAGTGCTATGGGTCTGACTGCGAGGATCGGTAGTAGCTTTTAGACTGATGACGTTGTCTGAGCAAATGCCTTTCAAATGCACTAAATGATGATAACGTCTCAAATTGTCACAACAAAGATATCCGAGTTTGGGGAGGGGGGCAATATATCTACGTTTCTGATACTTTCAGTAATGCAAATACTGCATCCCCTCACAATGCGGAAAGTTTCACCATTTGACATGCTGTGTATGCGCTAAGGCGCTTTCCAAGAAAGGCGTTGTGTCATCAGCCTTATGGTAACCATAGATCACGGTGATAGCTGTTCTCTACAGAGAAGGTGCTTTGTAAAAAAACATATTACTCATGGCAGCCAATAGTTCACAGTGGACAGTTGTGGTAAGGTTTGTATCATTTAACATGCTGAGAATGCGATTTTATGAAACGCACTGTGGCATCTGGCGGTCTTTAGGGAAATATGGTTCATACTTGTAACTGTTATGGACGAGGAATGTGCATTATACGTGGCAGCCGATAGTTCACACTGGACATGAACTTGAAAAGGTTTTCTGTGGAGACCTGAATGTGGGTCTAAATATAGGCCGCAATGCATGCAAATTCACAGTCAGCAGAAGAACAACAAATCAAACGTACAAGCTTCTGGCCAGCGAAGTTTCCTATCTCAAAAGTTACAGACGGAAGAATGTTGAAATGTTAACGCACACATTTTCGTGCTGATGAACATTGGGACCATGCTGGTAGCACAGTACTTAAACTGTGACATATCGCACTGCTATGCCAATAAGCTTTAATGGCAGACAAAGAGCCGCCTTTGTATCAAGCTCTTAGTCATCATAATAGCTCTCTGCACGCCTTTTTACGTTGTATTCTTTTATTCGCTCTTCCTCGTCAAATGGGGCCGCAATTGTGAAGATACAGGCAATTCAGCCTCTTCAATTGTAGAAGTAGAAAACACACAGGGTCCCCATAAGACTTGGCGATGTCAAATTTAGACGCATCGTCAAGTGTATGAACGGGAATGGCTGCCGATACTGCACCTCAGAGGCTGGCTGAATGAGCGACCTGGGGAGTTCTTCTATTAGAGGCTGCTGATGGTGATGGTTTCCTGGTTTGGCGCTACGCCAAGTGCACGGAGAAAGATAAGGTTTGAGAGATAAAACGTTGAGTAGCTCGTCCGAATCCCTAACAGTGTACAGTGGACTGAACAAAAGTTCGTGTAACGTTAATCACATATTGGCTCATATACAGAGGTAGATAACGGTTGGAAAT